TCATTGGCCCATCAAAGAGAATAGCAATGATTAAAATAATTGAAATAAAAATAGAAGAGGATAAAGTGGAGAGATATAAAAGCCTTCATTATATTTCTATTATATCCATAATTACTCGTACATTCCTTATGTGTTCTGAAGTGATCAGATGTGATTAGCTACAGTATGTCTCCCTTCATCTCTCCATTTCAACAGCCCTTGTCATCAGGAGTTAATGGATTGTCAGAATGCAGTCAAGTAAATATGCTGCACCCGCCTATGTAGATTTGTGTTGTGAATAGGTAATCAAGTCAAGGTCTGTGGTAACTTTAATGCTGCTCTGGTGATAAGGCACTAAACCAACTGCAGATCAGCGAAATAGTGAGACCCATTGGCGGATGTGCGAGCCGTTACTTCAGCAACTCGGACAGTGGCATGGATTTATCAATACACTGCCCAGAGTGAGCTGCTTCTGATATGCTCTGCTGCCTCTGGTGGATGCACAAGCACTGTCTTTTGTGGCCAGCTATGCCCGATGGAGGCTACTAACTTGCACAAACCCCAGTACGATAAAGGACCAATAAGTCAGGCTGCCTAGACTAACCTATTCAACTAAACAACCCCTCTGCTTTGCTCTCTCAGGGAATGGAGAGGGCAGGTGTCAGGTATGGCAGGTTAACAGGGGGATGCATTTTGCTCATTTGCCAACAAGGGGGATGGCATCCCCCCTCATATCACCTATTGGCCCTTCTCATCCATGTGCACAAAAAGAAACAAAACAGGGAGCCTTTTATAAAATGATTGCTCCATAGGATAACTTTGGTCAAACCCTCCAAAGGAGACATTTAACAAGACATTGCAGTAAAACAACACATCTGGAATTTTGCATTATTGTAGTGTTCACCTTCAGCTTGGATTTAATCAAACTTTGCTTCAGAAGCAGATTTGTGCCTTTAGGGAGAGGAATCTTTGGACCAATACATTGTGTTTTACAACTATCTGAAACAGACTCATGCTCAGTGTCCATGGATGATCGAGCTTTAGAGAAGCGGAGAGAAGTTGAAAAGGTCAAAAAACGAGAAAAATGGAATTGAAAGCAATAGAATAACAGCAAGGCAGTAAGTGGAACTGATAGGTACAAGAGAAAAAAGACTGAAGTTGTCTGAGACAGGTTAAGCTATTTCACTCAATACGGCAATTAAAGCTCAATTAATGCAATTTTACCCCTGCAGACAGGACATCATTGGCCAAGAGGGAAGAGCTTCACTGCAGGCTTCTGTACTCACACACCATAATGACAGACAGAGGTCTAACCTGAGGAACCAAGACCAACACACACACAACCAAAAAGTTAGGGATTTATTTTCCATTCTCACATGAAGAGGTTTCATAAGGACACCAGGAGGGCCAAAGAGCATGAGACGCATACTAAATACTTTTCAATTAAACCTCATTTACTCTCACACCTAAAGTCGGTCAGCTTTCAACTATAGCATGAAAGGTATACATGGCATACATTATATGTAAAACATACACCGGGTGTGTCTGCAACAACTACTAATGTTTGATTGAATGAACACAACCCACAATTGGCTAATCCCCCCGTCTAGACAAGTGTATCGGACGTGTTTTTCACTTGCATGTCTTACACAACATATACACTCTCATTTTAATCAATGCAGATGTCTGCACCATTTCTGCACAGGCGCACCTCTCAGCTCCATCTCACAGGTGTAACTGTGACTTGAAGCATTTATTTAGGCTTCAAGTCAAACTGAGCAAACAGTTTCCTCCAACTGTATCTCTGACTGCAGAGCAGCAACAGAGAAGCGGGGATGCACTCAGCTGTGTTATGACTAGTGGCCCCTACCGGCCGGGGAACGGTATTCAGTAAGTGAAACGTCAGTAGGCAGCATAAAACATACAATTAAAGTTGTTTTGAGAACGTGTGATTCACCGCAAATTATTATGCAGTTTGCTGCAGCAGTATGAGAGATTTGCCATGGACAGCCGAGATACTCGCACACTCGAGCACTCATTCATTCACTCACTCGCTCACACATGACCGATGTCATGATCCTCCTGGAGGAGATACAATAAATATGCAAGAAACCAGCTGTGTTCCTGTTTGATATCTATGGGTGGCCACACTAAGTCTATAAAGTCTCTGTGAATGGGTTCCACGGTGCCTCTGTCTCCCTCTTGATAGTCCATTTTCACTCTGGTCACTCCACTCTGCTCTTCTAATGATTTATCGGTCCGTCTCTTCTCTCTATTTGCTCATCATGCTTCTCACTTTTCCACCATTCTCCTCCTGCTTTTCTCCTTCTTAGGGAATTTAGTGCAGTGCATGTGCTTTTAATTTTACGTGGTAAGAGTACGCTGACAGGAAGGATGAGCAGCCTCAGCCATCTCAATTATCAACACACCTTTGTGCAAGAAACTGGTGTTTATTATGTTTTTACTTTTTTATGTTGTTGTTCAGAGACTTGGTTTGACAACTTGTTTCAACGATGATGAAAAAAGGAAGTTCTAAATATAAAAATACAAATATACAGTTGTCCTTTAATACTATAAAAGCCTGTTACAGCAGTAAATGTGATAGTTTGTGGTTACTGCAGTGCCTTTTTGCACATGCTCATTCAAAATTGGCTGCAGTTGTATTGTCAGTAAAAAGTAAACTTTTGGGACTATTTGTGTTACAAAATAACTGTTCCTTCTAAATGTGTGCGAATCAGCAATGTAGCTGTGCCGTCATTATTATACACTTAACACAATCATTGTCACATGTAAAACAATATTTGAGCCATTCAATTATATCCAAAACATCTTCATTTCAGGCTTTTATGACAAATGAGCAGCTGTTACATAAACCTTGTGTGCTTTTCCCACACTGTTGTTGTCCTATAATAACCTCAGCAAGACTCTGACCACCTCCTCTTCAGCGCTGTTATATATGAAAGGTAAATAAGACTCCTCAGATCAGAGGTAAATTACCCCTTTGCTCATCGCGCTGAAACAACATATGACAGTTTTCCTCAACTATGCTGCGGCATCTAGCTGGAGAGTGACACGTGTGGTGGAATATTTTCCCACCAGCAGCATCAAAGCTTCTCTATAAATACACGCACAGACACAAACACACAATGACCCACATGCAAAGCAAACACACAGGCTGAAATGGAAATGGGAATACATTAAAACAATTATCCCTTTGGGATTCGGCATAGAAAAGAGAAGGAAACACACACAAGCACAGCCAGAAAACATCACAGAGAAGGTGGGCTTTAACTCTGTCTGCATGTTTGTACTCAGTCTCATCAAAAAAAGTTAATTTGGAGGTGAACAGTCCTAATCTTGGCTACTTAATATCAAGATGAGCTTGTTACTGTATTTTCAGAGTAGCTAATTAACCGGCAGTTAAAAAGACTGATTGCTTGATAGGATTCAGAAGAGAATAAAACGGTCCTTTTTGTAAAATGTGGTCACCTTATGGTTACTTTGCAACCCAAAATGCGTTTGCATTCTTAAAATATTGTTTAGTTTTTCATTTTACCAACTAGGCTACATCCTGCAGATTAAAGTAGGCCTATTATTTATTTTAGAAAGTTTCCATAATGTGCCACTTGTTCACAAATTACATAACCACACTTACGAAACACAAACACTGCGTCAGTATTTTAGGCCAAGCTTAAAATAAAATGAATTATGTTGCCACATATTGTGGTATGTTGTTGGGTGTTAGAAGTTACAATAAATGAGAGAATTCAAAAAGTATGTGAAGGCAATAATGTGAGAAAATGTAATAAATAAGTGCTGCATGGGATCACAGTATTATGTGGGAGCACAAAAGTAATATGAGCAAACAAAAGAAATTAATATTGAAGTATTTTTATTTTAAATTCCTCACATAGCAAAAACCTCTTGACAAGAAGCAAAACATTTGCAGCACTTGATCCAGAGAATCACTGTCTACTAATGCAAGCAGACAGCAGTTTGACATTTAACCAACTGAAACGGTAACCTCAACTGAAGCGTATGTTGCTTTAGTGTTCAGCAGGGAGAAACCCATCACCACTTCACCAACTCACATGTTCCCATTTCGCATCTCATCAACAAGAGAGCAGTGCAGGAAACACTGCATAACACATGGCGAGAAAGAGCTACAAAAAAGCCTGATACAGTATTTATAGATTTTAAAATTATTTCTACGATTATAGAAACAATGGCCACAAAGAGCTCTTCATGAACACTTTGCTACACTATAAAATTTCAAATTTCAATATTTTTTACTGTTTTTTGCGTTTTTTGATGAAGGTAAATAACTGCAGAGGTACTCTGATGGACAATCCTTTGAAACCATGGTCTTGTCGGGTTATGCCAGTTCAAGACCAACTAATCATGTTCACTGTAGAATAATCTAATCTTATTAAAGCATTAAATGTCAGCACATGAGTTGGTGGACTGAGCCATTGCTCTTAAACATGATCAAACGGGCCACCTCCATGTCAAGCGTGGCACATCCAAGTGACTGAAGCATATCAACAATTACTAACGAGAGACTTGGAGGATCAAAATCACTAAGCCCACTTGGATCAAAACAACTCAGGTCTATATTTTCCATTATATATTTTATTTCCCTCTTTGGGACGAAGTGTTGTCTGATTGTTGCCGCACAGAACCAGAAAGCATGTCCCACGTCATGTCCGAAAATGCAAAGAAGCGATTAAAATCAGTCGGTGATATGTCCCGAGGCTGATTTCAGGCCCCTCTAAGTGCTGGTGAGTTGTTATGGTCGCCTCCAGTCCGGAATCAAAACAGGTTTGCACGGTCTTGTCCCTCCACCATTTGATCCATTTTGCTGAAGACTGTCGATCCCTTTTGATCCCTTACAAGTCAAACTGTCTCATTTTAATTAAATATATATTTGTGAAGACATGATCAAAATCGTGAGGATTTTTACTTGTCATTAAAATACGTGTCTACTAAACAGAAGTGTTGTAGTCGAGTGTTAAACTTACCAGTTTGGTGAGTGGGAATTCCCTTTACATCCTACTGCAGGTGTCGGTGCGCTGCGCTGCGCTATCTCCAACACTGGACCCTGATTCACTCCAAGGCTCTCCAGGACAGCCGGCTGTCAGCCAAAAACGTGACCAGAATTATTTGCCTCCGTTTTGTCATAAATATTACAGCGGGAGGGGGGTGGGGGCCCCTCCACGGCTGCAGAAGACGCAGAGAGCAGCAGTGGCTCACAAAGCAGGTAATATCACAGTGTTTGGGCGTTTTTCTTTTAATTCCCCAATCAACACGGCGCGCTACACCTGTACACTTTTACGCAGCGGACTTACAGCATCCCAAACACGGACCGGTCAACCGCATGATTATGCGCTAACTGCTCGCTGGAGCGCAGTCGCTCCATCACAGCGACCAATACGGTGATCTGCAAGCGCAGAGGGGGGGGAAGGAAGGGGGAATGGAGTGGGATTTTTGTTGGAAGGGGGAGGAGACAGGGATGCGGGAGGAGGAGTGTGGGTGGGTAGCCTTCCTTACACAAGGACGACCTGAGATTCCTCAAGGGTGACCACTCCTCTGTAGTAATTCAAGGAGATTTCCAAATTACTTGCATCTTCCTCCCTCTCTCAAAACGTATTGCACACAGTTCACCTGATCTCCGTCAAAGGAAAATGACTGGATTGACTCGATACTATCAGTCTCCCCCCACTGTGGAGGAGGCTTTTGAAGGCTTCTGTCTATGCTTTGCTGCACACCGGGGGCTGTACGGTGAGTGTCTGCCCTCATATCAGACTCCACATTTTGATCAGCTGGTTAAAGAGAAGATTCATGAGGCTTGAAGCCATATTTCACCTGAGATTATCATCTCATTGTAAGGTGCATCATTCCATCTGCTGTACTAGCACTCTGTCACTAGGAGCTGTGTGCATGGATCAAGGACACTGACTAAATGTGTGACCTTGGACACGTTAAATATGAGGTCCCTGCCACTGCAGTTCTCACACTGATTCACAGACAGCTGTTTTAGACAGCGGTGTAAATTACTGCGCTAGTGAATATGTGAGATAAACTGTGCAGAGGGAAAGTTAGATAAAAGGCAAGGAACACCTGGGGTGACTGAGGAGAGGCAGGGCAGCTGATGTCAGCCGTTCACTGTTAAGAAACTCCCACAGTAGACTGTATGCTAAAATTAAAATAAAAAGTCCTCCATTAAGAATTGCTATGTATGTTTTTCCCAAAATGGATGTAAAGACTGTGAATATTTAACGTTATTTTGAATTGGTAAATGGTAAAACCTGCATCTGAAATTTCCATGTTTGCTCTTATATGCTAATAAACAGATGGTGGAATAAATACTGCTTATATAACCTTGAACTAGAAACATTGCATGCTTCTAAAACTAAATAAAATCAGTGCTGGCCCTCATGCTCTCCACCCACCATCCACCCCCCTAGGTTTTTGTATTCCATCCTGCAGTAATTGTTCATTTTTCTTGTTGGTATCATATCATCATGATATATGCTGTAAGTTATACGCCCTCTAGAGTGTGTCATGTTGCAATAGTTTTGCCATTTTGGGAAATATTAGTTTTCTTGCAGTGAGCTGGATGAGAAGACATACCTATATCTCTCTCAGGGGCGTTTCTAGGATTGAAAGACGGGGGGGGGGGGCTTAGCCCATTTGGGGCCGTGGATATCCATTATTTCAGACAGTTCATAGATTGGTTCAATCAGAAAGAGCGTGATTTTGCTCTGTACTTTTGCTTGCATTAGTATATGATAACACAAGAGACAGAATTTCAGGGTCATAGTGGAATTTGACAACACAAATATGAACTTTTCTCAAATAAAGAGAGAGAAATAATTTTCCTGCTTGTAAAGGAAAGACGAATAAACTAGCTTTCATATCCGCTTCACTCCCAAATCCTAATTCTTAAAGGGACCGCACACAATGGATGGAGAATGGACCTGAGAGTGTCAACTTTATATCGTTAAGTATGATGATAGGCTGTTGGATGATTGGCATCACCAAAAAAAAACAACGTTTTCAGCTTCAGCCCCCCTAAAATAGGCCTAACGATGCCCCTGTGATCGCTCTCATATCTGTCCAGTAAATACACGGCTACAGTCAGCAGCTGGTTAGCCTAGCTTAGCATAAAGACTGGAAACAAGGGGAAACAGCTAGCCTGGCTCTGTCTGAAGGTGCCTCCCAGCACCTCCAAAGCTCACTGATAAAAGTTACTGCGAGGAACTTTTACCTGGTTATAAAACAGTCTCAATAAAATACTGATGCCTCTATGACCTAACTAAACAAGAACATCAGCAAGAACATTGGCTATTTCTTTATAGTTACTCTTAATGCATGTCATCAGTGTCACCGGGTCGACGAAATCATGAAGGTTCACGAGAAACTCTTTCAGCTCAGACTCCAGCGTTTTTTTCCATTGGTATACAAACTGCAAAAATAACAAATTGCAGTTTTACAGACATCTGTAGCCGGACCTTTTCTTCGCCGCGAGCAGTAACTTCCTGAAGTATCTGCTGGTTGCCTGGCAACTTCAACACTGAAGCCACATAACTACAACACAAAAATGCCCCATATCATTTTACTTTTTCTTTTTTTTCTCTAGAGAAACAGTGAACTTTAAAAGCGATGTAGGAAAACATTGTTGCTCCTTTGGACTAAACCAGGCTGTTTCTCCCTGCTTCCAGTCATTATGCTATAACTGACTGCCAGCTGTAGCCATATGTAATGTACACCATACAGACATCTATCTCCTCATCTAACTCTCAGCAAGAAAGTGAGTGTAAAATGTAATATAGTAACTATATTACATTAAGATTTGATTTAGGGAGAACTGACTGTGCTTCATGTGTGTGTGGAACAAAGAAATGTGTGTAATGGGAAGTAAATTTTTGGAGAAAAAGACAAAGACATGATTATTGATAGTTATGATCCTTCATGAACACCTGGTCTCAGTCTAAAGATTGTAGTAGTTCACACCCCACCACGTCCATCACCATAATTTCTCTGTTGCCCACTTTTTCCCTTTCACTGCGCCACACATTTTACAGAAACACCAAGGTTCGCCATGAGCAGCCGCAGTCGCCAAACAAACACAAAAACACAGTGAATTGCCCTTGCTACCGATCTGAATCTCTTGTGAAAACAGTCACATACAAATGCAAAGCTAGCCAGTGATAAGGAGCATCTGCCACACACCCACATACCATATGCCCCCGTCACTCAGCCAAGGAAAAATACAGAAAAACATCTAAACACACACAACATACTAGAAAGCAAATAAAACTCCCCTTAATAACAAAAACATATCCATACACTAAACATGTATCTGCTGAGACAAACTGCCGTCTATACAGCAAGATGACATAGGGAGAAAACTGCGGGGCCTACATTCAAGCTGTGCAACATGAAGAAAAAATCTCTCCATTGTAATGTATCGTCCATTTGTCATTTTCAGCGCCTTCCAGCAGCTATCTTATGATAAATGCTGCATAACTGTTTCAATGTATAAACCCTCTCTCTCCGTGTGCACTGCATCACCTCATCTTTTTTACTGATTTCCTGTTTTTCTCGGAATGCCTTTCAGCAACACCAAGACAAGGGGCATGAACTTGCTGCATACAGGTGTAGCGAACATCCACGGAGAGATGATAAAACTGAAATGTAATAAATACAACAATGACAAAATATTAACTAATAAACCTCTGTAAGGAACTGAGTAACCCAAGACCTCTACGGTTACTGAGCCCTTGGACTCTAAATTTACCATGTGTCTGGAGATACTCAGACCATGTTTTATGTAGGCGGATAGTTATTTTCTGTCTGCAGGCTCGAAGGCCCAGTGTAAGCCAAGACATCTCCACAGGCTGAGAGGACATCCAGCCAACCTGAGAAGCAAGAACCTGAAGAAGTGTCTTCCTTCGTCTGGTTTCTAACATGCTACAACCATGATTGATAACTTTGAATCCTCCACACCAGATCTCTCCCTCGAGGATCTGCCGGCTCCACCTCTCTTCTTGGCCTTCTGTTCCTGACCCGTCAACTGCGGCCATTCTGTGCCGTCTAATGTGCCATGCAGCTCCGACCTGCAATGCACCAACGTGCTGAAGACTTATTCCAGTAACTATTGGGAGAAAGCGACTCTAAAAGAAAAGACTCTAAGATGAAAGACATTTAAAAGTGCCAAATGTGCCATAATGATCCCTGCTGCTACAAAGAGAGGTGAAAAGATGAGTCAGCATCCTGCTGAGAGAGATGGAGAGGAGGAAAAATGGTTCAAGCCGTACCTCAACGAAGAAAACTATAAGCTCCGAAGATATCAGGGAAAGCCGAACCAACTGTCACAGAGGGAGAGATGGAAGTATGCAATTCAAATGAACTACTATCATCCAACAAGATCCGAGATGCAGCGATGCCCACAGAGGAACAGCCGCCACTCCATACAGTTTAATCCCCCATCTGCTCACCAGACTCGTCAGGTGAAAACAATACAACTTCTAGATGTAAATGATTTAAGTCAGGCAATAACATATTCTTAGATAGAAATCTTCATTAAACAGATCAACAAGCTTTAGACATAAAGATCTAAGTTTTATGTAAATTTGAACTATTATAAAATTGCTTCACAATCTTTCCTGGTGCGTCTTAAACTCTCAACTGCATAAATCTTTTGAACTAAATTGAATGTAAAAACGTCAAACGACGAATCTAATTGATAGACATTAATCAATGACAGGAGTCACTGGTACCTGGTCACATACAGTCCTTTTATTTGTGGTTCACTATTATTCATTGTACTCTTGAATCATATTCTATATTCATTCCATTCATTTTGTTTATTTGATCATTTATTTATACATTTTCTGTCTTGTAGTTTAGTTACTAATTTATGGGTTTATAAATCATAATTGAATTATTAATGATCATTAAATAGTTTGATATTAATGAATTAATAACGCTACACCGGTTGTGTTAAGGAGCGGCAGCGAGTTTAGGGAATCTCATATATCTCCTTCCTGTACAGAGGATTTCTTCCTATATGATTGTTGAATATCAGCAAAATGCTGAGGCTAAAACGAAACCCTCGCTCTTTGAATTTAAGGGGTGATATCAAAATGTGACCTTTTCTCTGATGTGTTAGAGCAATGCAAAGTTTTCTGTCAAGCCTCATTGTAACTGCAGCAGAAAAATCTTAAACTCTCAGCTACTTATACACAGTAATGAGAAAAAAAACATACCACCAAACCCTGAGATGCATGTTGTTTTTTGTCTTTTGTATGTCAAGTCGAAACTGAATCCCTAAAAGTACTGTGAACCTCCCTGTTTCATCCCCAGAAAGAGATTTTTTCTACAGGCGACAATAAAGCAGCAGATCAGTTTTCTCCCTGTGGACTTATTTTGTACTTATTTTAAGTTG